ACCACCTCAGAAACCCAAGGAGGGATCCCTATGAGTCGGATCCAACTCGACGGCAGTGAATTTTGGTTTATGAAGAACTGTACTCCAACAAATTTGAAAATGTAAAAGAAATAGACAGATTTAAAGAAACATACTACTAACCTAAACTAACAGAGGTTGAGGTGGAAAATTTGAACAGATGCACAAAAAGAAGATATTGGACACGTCATAAAAAAATTACCAACAACAAAAAAAGCCCTGGCCCAGACAGTTTCACTGGACAATTCTACCAAACGTTCAGAGAACTGACACCAATCCTACTCAACTATTCTTGAACACAGAGAATAATGGAATCCTCCCAAATTCATTTTATGAAGCAAGCATAACATTGATACCAAAACCAGGCAAAGACATCAATAAAAAAAGAAATCTACAGACCATTATCCCTCGTAAATATAGACACAAAAAACTTCAACCAAATACTAGCCAATAGATTCCCACAAAATATCAATAATAATAATACATTATGACCAAGTATGGTTCCTACCAGGTATGCAAGGATGCCTCACCATTAGAAAAACAATCAAAATCATCCATCACATAACTAAAATTAAGGAAAAGAATCATATGTTCATATCAATAGATAGAGGAAAGGTATTTGATAAAATCCAACACCCATTCCTGAAAAATTCCTCAGAAAAATAGGAAAAGAAAAGAAACAATAGACAGTCATATGTGGTGAATATTTAAATCAGGTAGATACACTCCCTGGAGAGTCATGGGAGAACAGAAGGGCACAGGATGGAAACACATAGGGAAGAGGTAACTACAGGGAGGAAGTAGGAAGAGAACTGTTACATTGTTGGGAATTATATTTAATATCATGCAACAAAACGTGTATAAACTGCTGTATGGAAAATGAATTTGTTCTGTAAACTTTCACCCACCTCACAATAAAAATTAGAAAGAATAATAATAACGTAAGCCACTAAAGAATGACCACAAGCAGGAAGATACTGGAGAACTGACTCTTGAGTAATGAGCTGTACACAAGTAAAATCTATTAAAATAAAGGGGGAAAATATTGGATGAATCACACCAACATACAACCACCAATAAACATAAATACAACAATACCATGATGTCTCAGAAACAACAAACCATCAGAGACCATGTGAAGAAGCAAAATAAAGTGGGAGAAACAAGGGACAAGGATACAGACCCAGAAAATATCCCAGAGGAAGAAACCATACTGGAAATCCTTGATAAGGAATTCAAAAACTTCTATTTAGGTACCTACATAGAACTGAGAGACAAATCATCGAAATCTTTCACAAAATTAAGAAAAAACAAACAGAACTCTTGACAATTTAGGAAAACAATACAATAACAAACTGATAAAATAACTGAAAAATTAGAAATGATACAAAATCTACAAATAGTAATTCATAAGATTAATACTATACTTTCAGAAATAGATAACACACTTAATGGGCAAAGAGGTAGAATCAAATCAGTGGAAGACAGAATTAATGAGATTGAAAACAAACACATCAATACTAATTCTTAGGGGATCAATCAGAAAAAAGATCAAAACAAAATAACTTAACAGGAAGAGACCAAAAAAAAATTAAAAAAAAACAAAAACAGAGAAAAATGTTGAAGACTTATTGGAAGAGAATTTCCCGAATATGATAAAAGACAAGAAGATGTCCTGTCAAGAAGTTCAATGAACCCCAAACAGGATAGACCTCAAAAGAAAATCACCAAGGCATATCATCATCAAGCTCACCAAAGCAAAAGACATAGAAAGAATCCTGAAAGCAGCATGGGAAAAACATAAGTTACCTACAAAGGCCAATCAATAAGACTAAATCTAATTTCTTGGCAGAAACCATACAGGTGAGAAGTCAATGAGATAACATATATAAAGCCATGAAAGAAAAAATATTTCCAACCAAGAATTATATACCCAGCAAAACTGTCCCTCTAATATGAGGGTGAAATTAGGATATTTCAAAATAAGCAGAAATCAAGGGAATTTGTTAAAACCAGACCAACTTTACAAGTAATGCTAAAGGGAGTCCTTCCTTCAGACAGAGAACCAACAACAGCAAACAACAACCAATTATTTAAACACATGATGACATAAACTAGTAAAGAACCCAAATGTAAAAGTTTCCAAAGTGAAATAATCTTACAAAAATGTAAACAAGGAACCAGAGACATCATTTCACAAATGAGGACAACTACAAACCAAAAAGAGAGAAAAATACTGAAGTTACAGAACTTCTAAATGGTGAAGAAGTCAAGAAATTTGCAAGACAGAGCACAATGTTTTAAACTGGGGAAGAAAATTATAAATCAAAGAAAAATAATAAACCTTCACATAAAAAAGAAAGGACAAGAACAAATGTTTAACAAATACTACAAAATACTACAAAAATAGCAACAAAGCAAACGATAACATGATTCATAAACAAAATGAGCTTATCACAGAAAATTATACAGAACAAAGAAATCATCAACATCATGGAAAAAGAAACATAACAAAATGAAGCAACAAATTCATACTTGTAGATAATTACACTGAATGTCAATGGATTAAATACAGTACTCAAGAGACAAAAAGTTGCAGACATGATAGGAAAACATAACCCAACAATATGCTGTTTACAAGAGATATACTTTACAGGCAAAGAAAAAAGTAGACTAAAAATCAAAGGTTGGAAATATATCAAGCAAATGGAATTAAAAAAGAGCAAAAGTCATAATATTAATTTCTGATAAAGTTGACTTTAAGACAAAAACCACAATAAGAGACAAGGAAAGACATTTTATGATGATTAAAGGATGGGAGCTCTGGTGGCATAGTGCCTAAGGCATTTGAATGCTAACCAGACGGCTGGCAGTTCAAACCCACCAGCCACTCCTCAGAAGGAAGGTTGGGCAATCTACTTCTGTAGTGATACTGCCTCAGCAACCCAAGGAGTGGTCGGAATGAGTCGGGGCCAACTCAACGGAACATAACAACAACAATAACAGAAGAAATAAAAATGAAATTAAAAATTTCCTCAAATCAAATGAGAATGAAAACGCAATCTACTTCTGTAGTGATACTGCCTCAGCAACCCAAGGAGTGGTCGGAATGAGTCGGGGCCAACTCAACAGAACATAACAACAACAATAACAGAAGAAATAAAAATGAAATTAAAAATTTCCTCAAATCAAATGAGAATGAAAACACAATATACCAAAATCTTAGGAACACAACAAAAGCAGGTATCAGATGGCAATTTATAGCAATTGGTGCATATATCAGGAGAAAAAAAAAAAAAAAGAAAGAGTCAAAATCAACACCTTAACCCAACATCTCCAACAATTAGAAAATGAGCAGCAAAAAAAGCTTACCATCCCCAGAATAAAAGAAATAATAAAAAGTCGAGCAGAAATAAATGAAACAGAAAAGTAAAACACAATTCATAAACACTGAAACAAATGAAAATATAAGACTAAAAGTTGGTACTTTGAAAAGATAAATAAAATTGAAAAACCACTAGCAAATTTAACAAAGGGAAAGAGGGGACGGATGCAAATAACACAAATAAGGCATAAAATGGGCAGTATCACAAAAGAATTAACCAAAATAAAAAGGGTAACATCAGGATTCTATGAAGAACTGTACTCCAACAAATTTGAAAATTTAAAACAAACAGACAGATTTCTAGAAACATACTGCTTACATACACAGACTGAGGTGGAAAATTTGAACAGATCCATAACAAAAAAGAACAACTTAAAAGGTTATAAAAAAAAATTACAAAAAAAAAGACTTGACTATGGTGAATTGCTTGTTGTGGCCCTTCTAACCACTGTCCTCCATTCTGTGATGTATTGTAAATCCTATCATCAATGCCTATTTGGGGTGGTGTGGTAGTTAAGGTTGGTTGTCAACTTGGCTGGGCAACTAGTAGTAATCATTCCCTATAATGACAGGCAATGGGCTCTGTGGTGGGATTTGCCTTGAGCTTTGTTGTTGTTGTTATTTGCCATCGAGTCGGCCCCAACTCCTAGCGACCCCTCCTTGGGTTTCTGAGGCAGTTATCACTATGGAAGTAGGATTGCCCAACCTTCCTTCCAAGGAGTGGCTGGTGGGTTTGAACCGCCAGCCTCCTGGTTAGCAGTCAAGTGCCTTAGGCACTATGCTACTGATTGTTAAAGCCATCCACTTGGGTTATTTCTGACAGAACAACAACATAGGTGGAATGTATCTTGAGTCCTTTCTTGTTAGAGCGTATAATTCAAATCACCACACTTAGCTTCCTTGAAGGTATACCTACAAATCTCCTGGGAAGGTTTACCCTCCTCTTGCTCCAGTTCTGTGTTTTGGCTCACCCTCATCTCACCCCTGGATTTGGGACAGCAGCCGTCATCTGATCTGCTGATTGGGGTTCATCAAATCCCAAGAATGGGGAGGATCCTCCAGACCCACTCACAGAGCTGGGACTCGCCAGCCTGCCAGCCTCCACCGCTACTACGTGAGGCGATCCCTTGGGTATCTGCGAGTTCTGTGAGGCTTTACAGCAAAATACAGAACCCTAAGATGGGGGAAATAACTGGGAGGAAGAGGCAGAGTTAATGTCTGAAATGATGGAGTGCCACTGTAGTTTGGACATTTGGGACATCTTTAACCTCCATCTCATGGGGACCAGCCTTGTGCTGATCGTTCTGAGAGAGGTTGTTTAAGTAATTGGTGTCAGAATGGTGGGATTCGCTGCAACAGCCCAGACTCACCGGAATATGTGGTTTTGGGAGAAAGTGGATAAACGGGAAAGTAAGAAACCTTTGGCTTCTGGATGGGATAAAAGACATCCATGGATTGAAGCAGCTCTTTTGTTGAGATCGGTCACCCAAGGCAAAAGCTACTCATGGGATTTAGAAGAGGTAGATCTAACTCCTGAGGAATTGGCTAGTTGTATGTATATGGAAATACAGAATGATGAAGAAAAGGAGAGACTTACAATTCCTTGGTTATTTTTATCAGCAATAGCTGCAATGGCATGGAAAAAGAATGTAGAGCCAGGTTGTAGCACTGAATCAAGCTCAGATCCAGTCCAATTAGAGCTACAACCCTTAGTTTCAGGGCCTATCCAGAAATGAAAAATTGTGTCAGAACAACAGGCAGTACCATACGACCACTGGTCACCAAAAAGGTAGTCCGGTAGGGAACGAGCAAAGCCAAGAAACTATTGAAAGCAGAGGGTATAGTTTGAAAGAGCTGTTTCAGTTTGTAGATCGGTATCGTCAGCTTCCCAAGGAACCTTTACTATAATGGGTTGTGAGAGTGACTAATTTAGGGGTGGCGTCTTTAGTTTTGAATACTGCAGAGTGAAAGAGTATGTTTGGATTGATGCAAGACCCACAATTCACTATGGAACAGACACAAATGTTGATCCAAGATCCATTTACAGGGCAGGTTAACCCAGAGGAGGCAGCCAGTTTGTTGGAATTGATAAAATTTACAGTCAGGTTTGTGTATTCTGAGAAGGGAAACTGCCCCCCTCTTCCTCTAAATATCTCCTGGAAGACTCCAGAGGAAGCAGCTAATGTGCTGCTTATGCAAACCATGCTGGAATGGCTTTATGGTGATTGGGATATTCACCCAACGAGAATGTCCCTTATACAGATCATGGCAGATAGAGTAATCAAGGGAGCCCCTTCTACATGGGCACCCCATGTAACTCTGCTGTTGCAAAGCAAAGCAACAATTCGAGAAGCTGTGTCAGGTCTATTAGCACAACTTCCCCTCATGGGTCTTACAAATGCAAGAAGCATAAGAGTAATTAATAGGAGAATGGAAAGGGGCAATAAGGAAAGAACTTATCTCAGCAGGTTGGAGACTGTTCAATGGTTGTGAAGGAATGGAATGAATATAGCAGACACTGATGGAGTTGACATAAGAGTGATGATACAGCACTACAGGAGATTGGGTGGACCAATGGAAACTCCTGCTGGTCCCCCCACCTTAAGGAGGACTAGACAAGTTTGTTCTATTCAATCCACTCAGGAAGAATTTATTAACTGAAACACCCACCTGGGACCAGCTGAAGCAGAGACTCAGCTAATTGATGAAGCCAGAGACTGACAAGAGGGCCAGAGTCCTCAAGTCCACCCCCAGCAGGGGACCTATGGCCATATGCACATGTGTGGGTAAAATCACCTGGGGGAGGAGAAGAGATCTTCTTGGGACTCCTGAACACCGGAGCCCAATGTACCATCATCCCAAAACCTGTCAATGAAATGTTGAAGGGGCCTAAGGTTAGACTAGGGGGATATGGGGATACAACAGTTGATGGGACTAAAGTGAAAGTTTGGATGAGAATTGGAAGATTTAAACAGATGTTGTATAAAGTAGTTGCATCTCCTTTACCTAAATGTATTATCAGTATGGATATTATGTCTAATTAGAGAAATCTCCCTCTACCTGATACTGTAAAACTGAAGGCATGTAAGTCTGCCCTTAGGCCAGTATTGACTGGATATGCTAAATAGGAACTATTAGAATTGCCTGAACCCACTCAGGTTGTTAACTTGAAACAGTATAGGATACCTGGTGGACAGAAGGAAATTAGTGCTTTGATTAAAGACATGCTAAAGGCTGGAGTGTTGGTGCCAACAAATTCTCTGTATAACAGCCCTATATGGCCTGTGGAAAAAGGCAGATGGCTCATGGAGTCTGACAGTACACTACCAAGGCCTAAATAAAGTAGTGCCACCAGTGGCTTCAGCTGTTTCAGACACAGTATCGGTGGTGCAGAAAATACAACAGGCCAAAGGAGACAGGTAGTCAGTGACTGATCTTGCAAATGCCTTTTTCTCCACACCAATCTTGGAAAAGAGTCAGTCACAGTTTGCTTTCACATGGGAAGACTCTCAGTACACTTTCAGAGTTTTGCCCCAGGGTTATTTGAATTCATCAGCTTACTGTCATGGCTTTGTTAGGAGAGACTTGAACTTGGTGCAGATTTCAAGTACGGTGATACATTACATTGATGACATTATGTTGATATCAAACACAGAAGAACAGGCTAGGGCAGATTTGAAAACAGTGGTGGCCCACTTGCCCAGTAGAGGGTGGTTAATAAATCCAGCAAAAATCCAGGGCCCTGCCCAAACACTGAAATTCTTGGGAATAACTTGGGCAAGAGTCACCCATGACATTCCACAGGTAACCAAAAATAAGTTGCTGTCACTACCTACCCCCAAGACTAAGCAGGAAGCCCAACGTTTAATTGGTTTATTTGGATTCTGGAGAATGCATATTCCCTATCTGGGTATATTGCTGGCTCCAATCCATAAAGTCACTAGGAGGAAAATACATTTGAATGGGGGCTGGAGCAACAGCAGGCTATGTCTGAAATACAGAAAGCAGTCTCACTGTCCTTGTCTTTAGGTACTTATGATCCACATTCAGACATGATTTTGGAGGTGTCTGCTACAAGTGCTTATGCAGCCTGGAGCTTATGGCAAAAACCTGAGAATGCTGCCCTGCGACGACAACCACTGGGATTTTGGACTAGAAAGTTTCCAGATCCTCCAGCATGATATACGCCATTTGAAAGGCAATTGCTTGTCTGCTATTGGGCGTTGATTGAGACTGCTTCAATGACAGAAGGGCATAAAATTATTTTGAGACTTGAAATACCCATAATGTCTTGGGTGATGTCAGAGAAACACTCTAACAAGGAAGGTGGTGCCCAAAATAGTTCCATAATAAAATGGAAATGGTTTATTCAAGAACAAGCAACTGGAGGGATGCAAGGAGGCACCCATCGTATCCATGAGCAGGTAGCCTCCTTTCCTATAGGTCCCACCCTGGAACCACCCAAGGAGCTGCCAGAATCCATTGCCACATGGATAGTGCCCTATGAACAACTTCCGAAGGATCAACAGAAGGCTGCTTGATTTACAGATGGCAGCTCCAGGGTACACGGACAACACACATGGAAAGCTACTCCATTAAGATCAGCAGAAAGAAAAAAAATAATAATGTTTTTACCTTATTGAAGAAGGTAAAAACAGGTCAGCCCAATGGGCTGAACTGCATGCTGTCTTCTTAGCTGTCATGGAAGAATTGGGCAATGGTAAAAGGCCATATGTTTGGATTTTCACTGATTTATGGGCAGTTGCCAATGGCCTAGCTATATGGTCAGGCAAATGGGTGATGGAAAATTGGACTATTAAGGAGACCCCTGTGTGGTGCATGGACCTATGGAAAGCACTCTGGGAGTTCAAAGAATGCATTAGAGTAAGCCATGTTGATGCCCATCAGAAGAATACTCTTCCTGGATCAGGGGACTGGAATCAGCAAGTAGATATGTTATCCCTTGAGGTGGCCAACTGGGTTCATGAGATGAGTGCACATGGGGGTGCTGCAGCAATGAACAGATGGGCTGAATCAAGGCACATCCCTCTTGCACCCTCTGAGGCACAAAATGCCAATAAGGATTGCTCCATCTGTCAGCAAGTAAGACAGAGGTTACAGATGGCTATGGGGCAGATTTCCCAGAGGGAAAGCCCTGCACATACCTGGCAAGTCGATTATATAGGACCAATGACACCAGTGGCTCCAGGTGGCTATAAATGGGTCCTCACAGAAATAGATACTTAATCTGGACTGGGCTTTGCTTATCCTGTGACAGATGCAAATGCCAAAAACACCATTAAAGGATTGGAACAAAAGATACTGTACCAATTTGGGCCACCAAGTTATGTTTCCTCAGACCAAGGAACACACTTTACATCCTATAGGGTGCAGCAATGGGCCAAAAAACATCATATTAAGTGGACATGCCAAGTTGCATACCATCCTCAAAGCAATGGTTTGATAAAGTACTGGGATGGGTAATTGAAACATTTGTTGTCTAAAATTGGGGGAGATAAATGCCTAAAGGGCTGGGTTACACACCTTCATGAATGTGTGCTCACACTCAACATGAGGGGCACGAAGGGAAGATCACCACTCGACAGATTCCTACACTTTTCCGGGGGATCTAGGGAAGAAGGGGTGGAGGAGGATGCTGGTGCCACTGTACAATTTTTACCCACATCACCTAACATTGCTTTCTTCCTGCCAGAAGCTGTGGTCCCTGGACCTGGGATGTAGCTGCGGTATCAGAGGCTGGGGTGATCCCTAAGCAACAAACTGTTTCTATACCTCTGAACCTGTATGCCAGAATTCCCAAGGGCCTTATGGGATGGATTGTACCTTCTCCCCATCTGGCCAAACTAGGGCTGACAGTGAAAACTAACATCCTGTCCAGTGGTCGAGATAGCCCACTAGTTTTGTACCTGTGTAACCATACCCAGCATGAATGGGAATGGACTGAGGGGGAAGCACTTGCTAGACTGATCTTGCTACCAGCAATCTGGATAGGCACCACAGCTGAATTTGATGTCCCTTCCAAGGTGGGAAAGTCTGGGTAAAAATAAATGATGAATGGAAGGAAGGAGAAATAATAGCTGAAGGTAAAGGAATGAACAAATGGGTTATGCAGAGGGGGAAATCCAACATTATGCTGATACCTAAAGACAGACTTAGAACAAGGGAATAATGTCATCTCAGTTAAATATTATCAGATACAATAAGGATGATAATGAGAAAAACTTTTGGATCAGATGGACAAAAACAGTAGACCTGAATGGCTATTATCTGAATAATCTCACCCTTAGGACTCTTTGCCTTACTGAAAAACTAACTGTTAATGACCTTGGGACCTGTAATATGATTGGGAGGGGCAAATTAATCTTTCAAACATGAAAGGGCTAATGGCTAGAAGAGCCATGGGGTGCAATGCGGTGAATTGCTTGTTGTGGCCCTTCTAGCCACTATCCTCCATTCTGTGATGTATTGTAAATCCTATTATCCAAGCCTATTTGGGGTGGTGTGGTAGTTAAGGTTGGTTGTCAACTTGGCTGGGCAACTGGTAGTAATTGTTCCCTATAATGATTGGCAATCGGCTCTATGATGGGATTGCCTTGAATTGTTGATTGTTAAAGCCATACACTTGGGTTATTTCTGTCAGAGCAACAACACAGGTGGAATGTATCTTGAGTCTTGCCTTGCTGGAGGGTATAATTCAAATCGCCATTGTTAGCATCCTTGAGGGTATACCCATGAATCTCTTGGGAAGGTTTGCCCTCCTCTTGCTCTGGTTCTATGTTTTGGCTCACCTTCATCTCACCCCTGGATTTGGGACAGCAGTCGTCATCTGATCTGCTGATTGAGGTTCATCAAATCCCGAGAATGGGGAGGATCCTCCAGACCCACTCACAGGACTAGGACTCACCAACCTGCCGGCCTCCCCACTACTACATGAGACGATTCCTTGGGTGTTGTGGTTACCGAATGCTGCTCTGATAAGAATATACCAAAAATGGGATGGCCTTAACAAACAGGAGTTTATTCTTATAATTTGGAGGCTTTATGTCCAAGTTCAAAGTGCCAGGCTTTAGGGGCTGGGTGAAAGCCCCTCAACCTTGGGGTCTAGCGCTCTGCCTCCTGCTCCTGGCCCACTGGAGCTAGAGGCATTTCTTCACTCAGACAGCTGCTGGCTGCTGAGGCTGAGAAGCCCCGAGGTTGACAAGTAAAAAGGGCACTGTCCCAATGTTACCAAACCACATGGCAGGACATTAACTTAAGTCCATTGTAAGTCTCAAGGGTGGCAGAGCATAGCAGACTGCTGAGCAACGACACAGCTACGTGCAGGGTCCAAGCATGCCATAGGCTAGAGACCATTCCCAAAGCTTCTCCTTATATACAGGAAGCAGACCACATCCCAAAGGCAGCTATTCAGCTGCTTGTGGTAGATCCCACCATGGAGTTGATTGGCAGTCTCATCATGGGGAATAACTACCACCAGCTACCCAGCCACTCAACCAGGCCCAGCCAAGTTGACACACAACATAAACACCACATTGGGTGTCTGTGAGTTCTGTGAGGCATTATAGCAAAATACAGAACCCTAATATGGGGGACTCTGGTAGCACAGTGCCTAAGGCACTTGCCTGCTAACCAGGAGGCTGGCGGTTCAAACCCACCAGCCACTCCTCAGAAGGAAGGTTGGGCAATCCTACCTCCGTAGTGATAACTGCCTTGGAAACCCAAGGAGGGGTCGCTAGGAGTCGGGGGCGACTCTATGGCAAATAACAACAACAACAATATGGAGGAAGTAACTGGGAGGAGGAGGAGGAGTTAATGTCTGAATTGATGGAGTGG